AAGCTGGCGATGTGAGCTGCACTGATGAGTCGCTGGGAAACAAAACAACACAAACCGGAAGGAGCAGCAGCAAACACGTGGCCCGAGACAGCAGGCACCGCCGTCTCCTCCCACAGCAGCTTTTGTTGTTTGGGCTTTTTTTTTTTTTTTTTTTTGGTACTCAACATCTATTGAAACACTGATATCTGAAATACATTCCAATATCGCCCATTTGTACATACAAATGAAAGCAGGACTCAATAATCAAAAATAAGTAACAGATAAAGGAAAAAAAGAAAGTGTGTGGGCCTTTATGCACACAGCAGCTACAGATAAAGCAACCGCTGGGCACTAAAGGCTCTACTGTTTCGTACTGTTCCGCTCTGCGAGTATCGTGAGGGGATGAGGAACAGATGTGGGTTGTCACCAGTTAGGGTAGCTGCTGGGTTCCTCCCCACATCCCCTCCCCAGTGACAATGGGTACAGGTTGAGAGGCAAGGCCAGATACTCAGGAAGCCAAGGAAAGGAGGGGTTCATTAAAATCACGGTGTGTCGACTTGCACGGTGCACCTGAAATAGCATTTACAGTATGTAAATGTACAGGATATAAGCCCCACCGTCCACGCCAGGAATGTCCCAGGGAGGTGCACAATGGCCTGAAAAACGTGCCCGCCTTGGAATTCCTTCCAGGCTCTTCTCAGTGAAAGCATTCTCCAGGTCTCTGCCTTTTCCCGGCGGGTCACTGTATCCCTCTCTGCCTCCGGTTCTGTACGTGAGGAATCCCAATAAAAATCTAGGACGAGAACAATGTGAATACACTTAACATTATGAACCATACACTTCAAATGGTTGAGTATACATTTTACCTTATGTATATTTTACCACGATTTTAAAAAAAAATAAAAAATACAATCTTTACCAAAAAAAAATAAAAGAATTAAAAAGAGTTGGAGGGATGTAAGTCCTTCATTCATGACCGACACTCCATTTTAAGGCTCAAGTCCATGGTCACATCTGGCGAGACTTCCGCAGTCCTTCTGTCTGTCCTCGCTGGCTGCGTAAGTTTCAGAGGTCGGTGGGAACTGTGGCTTCTTTTGCTCCTGTGCTCTGACCCCTCCCGAGAGGGACTCCCGGTGGGCAGGAGACGGGAGCCTCCCCCAGAGGGGGGCTGGTGGCATGTGGCCAACACCCAGAGTGGTGCTTCTCGCTGTTTCTCTCTGCTTTTCAGCAC